TTGGGGTGACAAAAGTCCCTCTTTTGTTTGGTTCCTGCCCTTACCATCACTTCAATCAGTGTTGTGATCAGTGTTGTGCTCTCTTCCCTCCTTCTATCCTTGTCCCTCCTCCCCACTTTTTTTTTTTTTCCTATTTATTTCTTCATCAAAAGGAGACATGTGTCTGTTAAATTCTGTGCTAGTAACCTGGACACTATAAAATGTTACACTACCCCATTCTGTTCTCTCACCTCTCCAGAGCAGCCCTGCAGTAGTTCTGCCAGGATCCTTGTCTTTTCCAGATCTTTATATTCTTGTGGGTTTTTCTCTCTGCTTCACTGTGTCGTGCATTTTAAGTGGAATATTTAGCTTTCCTCTTGGTACCTGGGCTGTATCCTGCCACTGCATGTCTGAAAATGGTGATGCTGAAACTGCTGGTAATTACAGCCTTATGTGACGTCCAAGCTGCTTCGCCTGGAGATGTTTGGTTCCCCTGCCTCAGTGGCTGTGGCCTGGCTGGGCCTCGCTGCAGAGGGGTGGCCAAGGCCCCACATGTCCCAAGGTGCGTGGCGAGTTCTGAGACCTGTCCTGGCACCAGGACTGCCCTGGAGCCCCAGGTGACTGTGCTTGGGAGGAGGGTGGCCTGCCCCAGGGCTGCCAAGTGACACTCAAGTGTCAGACCTTTTAGTGCTGAAACAACTATGTTGCCAAAAATACATTATATATATTTTCCTTTTTCATGTGGTCCAAGCGTAAAGCTATGAGGTAGTGCTGTCTTTCTGTGCCTCTGCAGTAAAAATAAACACTAGTTCCAGCTGAGTTATATAAAGCCATTTCACTTGAATCTTGTCTGTAATGATAAAATGTCATTGGTTTTGTCTTTTTAATTGTTCATATGAACTGTAGTATTACTGGCCTAGCGGGGGGAAAAAAAAATATTAACAAAATTAACAAACCTAGAGCATCCCAACTTTCCAAGACCCAGAAGCTGAATGTGTTCTGTACTTAACTGTCAAAACATTAGCTTGCTTGATTTGCTGATGAATCAGATATACCTGAATGCTGCAGGCACCAGGTACTTGCTGCTGCATTGGGATACATGCCTATGGGAAGCGCTTGGCCCTTTGTGCCTCTGTGTGTGTGTCTGTGTGTGTGTGTGTTTCTCCTATTTAGACAGAACTTTGTAGCTTTGAGGCCTGTCTGTGATCTTTTTTGCTCTTACTGTTTTGCTGTACACATGTTCCAGGCAGATAAGATAGGAGATGAAAAGGAATGGAGCTTTTCAGTAGGCCCAGGTATGGGAAGAGAAGACTTATTGCCAAGTACAAAATCAGGTTTCACTCAGAGATGGGCTGATTCCTTCTCATATGAAAGCTTTCCACCCTGGCCAATCCTCCCAGGAAAAGCAGAGCAGCAAGAGAATTTCCTCAAGCCTAGTGATGTACTGAGTTGACTGAAATTGTAGCCATTTAATACTGAGTAAATTTGTTGTTTGCTGTATGGCTTATTATTTTAAATTCAAGTGGAGTTATACTCTTCTGTACTAGTGCTGTTAGGGAGCTGACAGTATTTTGGTTGTTCTCTCTGAGTTGATATAAACTTGAATAATTGGTCTAAATAGCACAGGCTGCTTATCTCCACTGCTGCTTTAAAAGGGGTCTGACCTTGCGTTTAAGTACATGGTTATGCATTTATCTTGTGAAAGGCTCTTACCATTGATTTTAGAGAGAACAATCCCTGATTTTAAAAGAAAGTGCAACAGACAGTTTGAAAACACATGCAATTCTGAATTCTAGAATTTTATAATGATATCCAAATGTTTTCACATGTTACTGTTTTATTTAAGGTGACTGCAGGTAGACTGATATCCTTTATAGCAAAAGGAGCAAACATGTAAAAAGTTACACAATAGTGGTGACTAATAAGCCTTTCAAATAGAAAAGGAAATGAAGACACTAGTGTCATGCGTCAGCACTAATGTTTGTTTGAAGCATTCCTCTAAGGATTGCAAAGTGCTTTTCAAGCAATGAATTAATTTTGACTATGCGTCATGAGGTGTGTGGGCAATATCATCCCCCTTGGTAGAACAGAGTTGGAAGTGCTGCGTGGTTAAAGTCTACAGGGTCACGCTACTGGGTACCTTTAGTTACAAATTGGAACTGTTGATTCAGTTTTCTTTGTTTCATGTTCAACGAGAATCACAAGCATAAGGCCCAGGCTTGTGTGTGTGAGAAATTTAGTTCCATTTTGCAAGAAATGAAAAATCTAAAGAAACCTGCAAATATAGTCAGATGTGTAAATGCTCATTCAGTAAGGCAAAATCATCTGGGTAGCTTCATTTTTGGTCTTTTTGTCTTGTAGTGAGCCTAGAGTCATCTAGTGTGGTCAGTTGCTGACTTCTTGCAGAAAGGGAAGAGGAAAAGGCAAGCTAGTATAACCCAACCAGTTGTGAATGATGACTTTTGAACAAGGCCAGCTGACTATGTGAAACAAAAATATGTCTCTGATTGTTGTTTGTTAGAGCTTGAAAATATAAAGCAGAAACCTGCCTCATGGATCAGGAAGGAAGGAAGTGAAGAAGTTCGTTTATAGACTGATAATGTCAAGGCAGGAAGAGACCACCAGACCCAGCTAGTTCCTCTCTTTACCACCTTGCCAGATAGAGAAGAGAAATTACAGCATGATTTAAGTGGAAGATTTCATGTCTGCTGTTGAACTTCAAATCAGGACTGATGGCCACTGGTGTGGCTAAAGCTTCAATGCACAGAGTCCTCCCAGTACATCAGTTCTTCCCAACTATTGCTTTGTTCTTGGTGTATTGTTATAATGACAAGCAAAAAGGCTCAGAGCTGTCTAGCAAGTCCTTCCTCTTGCTTCGTTTGACGTAGTCCAGCAGACTCACCTGCACCGTAAGCAGAGCTTGGCCTGGATCCAGCTGGGATAGCACTGGGTGTTTTTGTAAAATGAAGGTAATTTTTGCATGGTAGAGAGGGAGGAAAGGACTCTTTTTGCTCCCTATCCACTTCATGTGGACTTTACCAGCTTCTTTTCCTGAGGAGGGTGAGAGACATGGTTCTTTATGGCAGACAGAAATATAGCTGTCACTCCACACACAAAATCCACATGAGGAGGAGGGGACCATTAAGTTTTCTCCCAGCCTTCTGGTGCAGAAGTGGAGCCCAGATGCTGCTTGCTTTCAGATCCGCACTGTTGATTTACACTATTTTATATAGGAAAGACTGTTCTGCAAGGAAGGAGGTCTAACGTACACTTGAAAGTCTAAATTCCTCCACGGATTCAGAGGCAGAATCTAATACAGGAGGGCTCTGTGCATTGTCCTCAGTTTGAAGTGAACAAATACATGCAGCCTGTGTAAAAGAATGGCACTTGCTCAACAAATTCAAATTAGGTTTGATTAACTTGATTAGTTATGTGTATGTTTTTTGTTGTTGTTTGTTTGATTTTTATATCAGTGATGATAGTATCTGGAAGAGGGGTGTGTTAACAAAAGACACCTTTGAGGGTGTCTCCTGCATTGAAGTTGATCACATGCCATAGGTTTGTGTGCATGACTGTGATGTTTTCTCTTTTGCCACATGCAAGCATTATCTGTACAGCTTCAAATGCAAGTTTAAAAAATCGTGATGTAATTCACACTTGTTGAAGAATTGTTTTAAGTAGTACTCTCTTGGTTTCAGCTGTGATCTCTGGCAAGAGAAGCTGTTTGGACTTGTGCCGCTTTTTCATGTTCAAAAAAGGAATGCTGATGAGAAAGAGGTGTTAAAATATGTTGCTGTAGTTTACAACTGTCAACTATAATGTTTTATTTAGCTGTATCTATTGAGCCGCTCCCTCCGCAACATGGAGTGCCATATGCCATTGTCTGTGCTAGTGAGCAAGTCAGCAAAGGTTTCCAAATCTGCGCTTGTTTTTGTGTTTGGGCCGCTGAGGAGCTGCGGTCCAGTGCCATCTTTTATTGATAGGGCGAGCAGAGGAGGAATCTAATGAAATTATCAAAGCTTTGAATTAATTATGAACTTGAATAAGAAAGCTAGGCTCTCTGGAGCCAAGGATCTCATTACCCATTCACTCTCATTGCATCCTCTTATGGAGCAGAAGGCAGGTTCAGCTACGGCTCCTACCCTGAATTTGGACTTTATTCAAACTTGCTAAACTCACTAGCATCCACTTGTTATTAATCTGTGGCTGAAAATGTCCAAGGTGATTAATTTGACTCTGCTCTAGATCTTCTTGTAGATGGTAGATTTTCCTCCCCCCTTTCCTCTTACCTTTGCCTTGTGGCTTTTCATCATCAGACTGGCTGCCAAACAAGAGTTTCTGTTCTTTCTTGGTAATTGGGGGAAGCTTTTCAAGATTCAAGTTGTAACTTTCTGGAAAATAATGAGTTAATGTTAAGAAATAATACTGCTACCTTGTATTTCCTGGATATTTAGGTAAGCATAAAGGCTTTTAAGGTCATTTCCAAAATTGTTTATTTTCTTATTTTAAAAGACTATGAAGTAAAAAGTAATGATTAGACATTTTTGGCCTTGTAATTTTGCTATTTTTTGTTGTTGTTCATATTTTAAATTTGCTGGTCAAGTTGCAGAAACGTTAGAATTTGTCAATACTTGTTTATTATGAACAATTAAGTTGTTTTGCTTGCCTTATTGATATCTCTTTAAAAAAAAAAGCTGTTAAAAACCTATGAAAATGCACTGTTTTAGTTCAGTCAGACTGTATTTATTTTAATCAATAGGTCAATATCCAAAAGCAAATTAGAGCAAAATCAGTGCGACCAAGAGTCTTGTGATTCTGGTTCTTGTAGATATTCCTTTTAAGTCCTCCGGCAAGGATTTTTCCTCTCCCCCTTGCTTTTGCCTGCTTCAGCACATTGTTTATGAATTCATAAACTGGAACCTCTCAGTCCTCATAAGTTACAGACCACTGGCAATTTTTTAAGTCGTGGCTAACTTTGACTACCAGTGTCTGTGTATGTGTATATTTGGAGGTTCTAATAGCTTATTGGGCCAAGGAATGACATTTTATTCCTGTACTACAGCTATTTTACCGTTGCTGATATTTATCTTTTCTCTCTTCAGGCAGCTGCTATATTTAATTCAGCCTTTGGAAGTTTTTTGGTAAGTAATGTGATATTTATACTAAGTAAGTGATTTAATAATATTGTCATTTTAAGCATTGCTGTTCTTATATTGCACTTTTAACATAAATGTTATTGGAATTGTGCAGTTAAGCTGGTTAGAATTTTGAATAATCTTTCAGATTACTTCATTGTTTTGTTATGTGTAGATATTACAGTTTCTTTTCTATTTGTTAAATGCTTGAGAAAAACAATGAATATACTGTCTCTAATCATGGTAAATTAATAATGTGTAAACACATCTTAATTTTCTCCTTAATGGGTTAACAGAATCTATTTTTATGCAGATGCTTCAGACATGGGCGTCAATATATTGATTTTTCTAATAAGGCCCATCAAATGCTCATTATTTTCTATCAAGAGGCCATGGATTTTGAAAAGAAAACATGACCCCGCTGATCAGAGAGTAGATGCTAATTTACTCTGTGACATGTCATTTGTTTAGCATATTTCACTGTCAGTGAAGCTGCTGTGTCTCTGAGGAAGGCACTGAAATAGCTAGAAACAGGGAAACAATCAGTGCAGCTAGAACCATAACTGTTTCTCTAAAAAGCTAAAAAGAATATTTGTGAGTGTGGGTATCTGCAGAGATTCAGAAAACGTGTAAGGAGTTCTTAATGTTTATGAAGAAAGGAAGAATTGTATTGATCGGTTGTTTAGAGAGACATTAATGAATATTAAGGACAAATTAGTTTATGTGTATGCAATCTTCTGAGGGTACTGCTTTGATTTATTTGGCCAGGCAATAAGTGTAGTGGTATTTTTTATCTTAAAGTTGTGCGTATTTAAAAGTATGTTTTTCCAATTCCAATCTTGTGTCACCAGAAAGAGGACTAATCATGCATTCCTCTTGTATGTTTTCAGTCCTTGGACATAAAAGGAATTAATGGCAAAACAGTGTAAATTAGGAAATTGAGGTCAGAACCACAGGCACAAAGTAATTTTATTATTATTTTAATATCTATTATGATAAGCTAGGAGCTCAGAAATGTAAGGATGTAAATATATACTGCCAAGAGAAAGTTGTGTGCTGTTTATATGTTACACATTGTGAGTTTATAAGTTACACACTATGCTGCTGCTTTTTTGAAAATGTACTTTGAAGTATTCCCCCCTCCTTTATTTAGGAGATGTTTATAAGGTCTTGTGGTTATAGATAAGCATTCACTTGTTAAAAATAGCAGTTCCCAAATGCCTTTTCCTGTTTGTCTCTTAGAGTGTCTTCTTCCAAGGATTAAAAAGTACTTTCTCCCTCAAATTAGAGGATTCCAATGTTGAACTAATGTTTAAGCCTTTGTGTGGCCTTGAGGTTGCCCCGCGATACTCTGCAGGAGCTCTAGATTTGCTGCTGTCCCTGCTTTCCTTTGGGGAGGTTTCCCTGAATACCCAGAGGCCCCAGGTCAGCCGTCATTAGGAGAATCGCTTCTGACTTCAAATAAGAGTGCAGGCCCCAGAGCATCTGACGGCGGTGCTGGATTCCAGTAAAGCTGCATATACGTATTTTAATTTCTAGAACCTAACTGCAGCTCTCTGAAGAAATCCCACTTGAAGGAGCTGGGCTTGTTTCCTTGTTCATATAATACTACTGACACAGACTTGAGTTTCGATCTTTGTTCTATCATTGGAAAGTTTAATTGCTCCTAGGTATGTCTTGTTTCACACTTTGACTGTAGATTCCTTTTTTTGAGGTTAAGGGAGAAGGGAAGTCTGGAGGAGTGAGTGTGATCAAATACAGTTTAGAAATTCCTAAGAAAGATTTTTTTTGAAAAAATAGTAAAGATCGACTAAAATCAAGCCATGATACCAGCATAGTTTGAAGTTACGATTGTATATGGAAAGTATGTATATTAGACATGAAATAAATCACACATTTATTTAAATTTGTTGTTAAAAACTTTTCAAACAAGATGCTAATAGGATGAGAATGCCACTGCATGGCAGTGGTGGTAGGGTATGGGCTGTAACAGGTAGCTAGAAAGTGGTGTAGGGTCAGCCTGGCCTCTGAGTGAGAGGCTCCTGATTGTCACTCTGGACCTTATTAACTAAGTTTTCCTCAAACAGCTGGAAAAACAAAGAAAATATACACCCTTGTTTGGAATCAAACTTTATTCTCCTGTAAAATGTGAAAATAATTGGCTTGTTTCTGAAAAAAATAATGGGAGTTTCTGGGTGGTTGATATCTTTGGTAATCAGTTTATATCGGTGCCAACACTTGAGAGCGTTGCTAAATAGCATTCATATTTTTCTTACTGCTGTCTGGTGTCTTGTCTGTGCCTCAAACCGAGATGTGTTTATATATCTGTATAAAATATATATTTGTATATATGGGTATATATATCCTAGGGATCATTTGGAAAGATCAGACTAATGGCAAGGCTAGATTTTTTTTTTCTTTTTTCCTCTTATTTCCCTGATCCTGCAAAGTGTAGCGTGTAGGTGGGTTGTTGCACTTGTGTGCAGCTGCAACAAAGCCAAGAGGACAGTAGGTTGTAGTCTGCTTTCAGTCTATGCCCTGTGGGGCCGATGCCTGTGTGTGATAGTGTAAAACAAGCTGATTTAAAAGGGCTGAATGATGTCAATGTCCTGGACTTCTCTTTTTTTTTTTTTTTTTTTCCTCCTTCAAGAGCAGGAAATGGGCTTTCAGAGCTTAAACTGTGAAACAAAAAGTTGTCTGTAAGAAAGGTCTCAGTTTAATGTTAGGCTGATGCTGAGATGAGTTTACTCAGGTGGTAAAAAGTGCATTTTGGTATACAAAATGTGTAACTGCTGAGTGTATATTGATAAGCAGAAATAGCTTCTATTAAGTAATGTTTTCATGAGAAAGGAGGAAAAAAAACCTATCAACCAAATACAAAGTAAAATTCCTGTTAAATTTCCCCAAAACATGTATTGCTGTAAATATGAATGCACAACACGGTATTGTACGTATTTATGCTCAGTTTAACTATGTCTCAGGTGTAATTAAAACATAGTGTTTTAAAGAACTAATTGTTACAGAAAACTGGTTTTGTGTAGCTAGACTGGTAATAACTAACGATAGCTGAATTCAATTTACATAAATTTCAGACCAAGAGAATATTTAGAATCATGCCACAGAGGATTGCTCGGAGTGTGAAGCTTAATAGCAATATCTCCTCCCCCTGTTTAAGCAGTTTGGTTTACAGTAATTGAGGAACATAATAAGCGATTGGAGTTTTTCCTCTTAATGGGGCTTTAATAAAATCTTATAGTGTCTTACCAATACCAGGTGGTTGATTATCAGCAAGGTTACTACTGTAATGCATGCAAATGCGTGCTAAGATCTGCTGAGTTCAAAAACACCGAGGTGGCTGCTTCCACTTGTAGGTGAGGAGCTTTTGCCACTAAAGGCTAACGAAATGGACTGGGGTGTCAGATGTGTCTGCTGAGGTTCTTAGCGCTGTGTGTATTACTGTGCTTCATGAGCTTTCTGCTGTGCTGCAGCAGAGAAATAACACTTGTAGAAGTCTGAAGCACGGAGCTGTAGGTAGGGTACTGTACAAGAGGCTGTGCTGGTGAGTGTTCCGTTTGTTTAGCTGGCTGGCTCGGCTCTGTTGGCTTTAAGATCACCGAGGCTTAGCCTGTGTTTGGGGCCATTCTTGCGATGGAGGGAACTAACTTAAGGCTTTATGGTTTGCAGCCAGGCTGCAATCCGTGTGCATGGAGGAGGAGAGAACCCAAACTGGAGGAGAGAGGATGCCTTCACAAAATGCTGTGCTCTGCTGGGCTGGAATCCTTATCGTCTGATTCCCCTCCTGCCTCTCATTAATCTCCTTTCCACTTGAGACAGTGGGCTGGAAGCTCAGGAGAGTATCCAGCTTGTGATGTGAGTGAATGTTGTCTGATTTCTTGGCAGCTTGGGGTTATGAATAATAGGTTTGAAAGGAGTAGTCGTCAGCCTCCCCTTGAACAAAGAGCTGAGACCAAAATCTGGAGGTCTGTGGTGACAAGAAATTAAGAGGAGCAGAGAGGATCCAGAGGACTCTGCTTTAGTAACCGCTTGCTCTCCTGAAAAAGGAGCAAAGGGCAGCCTGAAATGAAAATGTTGACTGAGACTTCTTATGATGCTATTTTGGATTAATTTAGCTTTCTATATTGAAAGGTGGAATAAAGCATATGCCTAGGATACATAAGCCCCATTCCAGGTGCCCATCAGTTCATTAAATCTCCTTTGTCCAAATTAAGTATATATTTATGTATGACTTTGCTGTGTTACCTGGCCAGCTCTTTCTAAGGGAACAGAGCTGGTTCTTATTACTTAAAAGCTCAGTAGCTTAATTTTTGGAGCAGTCACTTTGCTGATCAAACCAAGGATAGTGTTTTTTAAAAAGTAAATCTAGAAGCGTACATAAAAGTGAGCTTCTCACGCATACGCAACGCTTTCTTGGTTAATGAAAATGTATGGAATTCTTATCTACTCTGTTTTAGCAGGCATAATGATTTACACAGCCTGACAGCACTAGTGCAGCAAGTAAATGCATTAGTCACTGTGTCCATTTTTCTTGCAAATTTGTGACACAGATTTAATTATGGGAATGACCAGCAACTTACAAATCTAATTTTGGTAGGCTGAGCCAACTTTTTATTTTAATAACAATGGATTTTTTAGCAATGATTTCATTACTATTTAAAGAAATCCACCAATATGAAAATAACCAATTGGCTGAATTTATTTTCTCTTAATGGATGCTGAATGGTTTCATTTTATTATTTTAGTATTTTTCAAATCTTAGTTTTTTCTAGGGTAAGCTTATCTGGATTAATTACTTTTAGAGCAAAGATTGTAAATATTTTTTTCTGAAACCAGGCCAAGGTTTCTGTGCCCCCTTGTTTCCTCTTTACTGTGTCTGTACAGTATGAAAGGGGCAGAACAGTCTTGAGGGATTCCCCTTTTACCTCACTAGCTGTTTACATGAAGATCTTGCCAAGGTAGTTGGTTCACAACAACTCCTGAGTTACGGA